ACATCATGCTAATAATAAACTACAAAAAGTAGATTTAGTGTATTTATATAACCTGTTTTATTGGTTTACATGCAAACCAACTACCCAACAACACAAGAAAAGCAGATTTATTTTTTAAACTCGTCTTGTAAAGAAGGTTATTTATTTCCCAAAGATGATTCTACTCAAGAGTATTCAATTTATTACGCAAGTTGTGATGTTAAAGCATAAAAACCTGGAGTACTCCAAAATGTCAGCAGGAAACTTGTACAGACTCATTTTTCTCACATTTTTTTCCCCTCTCTCCAACTCTACCACTGTGCTTACAATATCTAGTAAGCTTCATGATGATCTTGAAATTTGTCAAACCATAATTAAGTGAACCGATTTAAAATGAACATAACCGATTCTGCTGTGGACAGCATCTTCTGGCAAGACACTGGAATTAATTTGCCTCAATCCTCACAAAGCATTATAGGTATTGGAGCTGTTGAATGTTCATAGTTTGTACACTCAGAAATGCAGTGCATTATGGTATTGAACGAGTGCACTCAATATCCACGTTTTTTTCGTACACCACCCGGAAAAAAAAAAAAAAAAAAAGTATTCCTGTTTCCACAAAAACACTTAAGCAGCTCAACTGTTGTCAACATTGATCATCAAAAATATTTCTTAAGCGCAAAATCAGCATATTAGAATGATTTCTGAAGGATCGTGTGACGCTGTCAAGGGGTCATATGATGCGATTTAAATTTTTCCTTTCTCTTTGGAGTGTTACAAGCTCTTGGTGCATAAAGATGATCCGTAAAGTTGCAAAGACTAAAGTCTCAAATCCAAAGATATTCTTTATAAAAAAGTTAAGATTTGTCCATGCCCTCCTAAAACGTTTAAACACGCCCCCACATATCTACGACACTGTGTGGGAAGATTTGCATAACGCCACCCAAATGTTCACATGTCATGCCTGGAGCTGATAAAGATAGTATAAGTCATTATAATCAGTAATTATGTCCCCACTGGATGCAACAAATGCCTCGTTTGTAATGGGTTTACATCGTTTTATCTCGTCGCGCTGGACACATGGAAACGATAGACTGTAAGATAGAAATACAGTATGGTAAGGGGCGTAACATTTCTGTCACATGCTTGAGGTATTCGGCCAATCACAATGCACTGGATAGCTGGCCAATCAGAGCACACCTCGCTTTTCAGACCGATTAACTTTGTAAAAATCGATGCGTTTCAGAAAGGCAGGGCATAGAGGAGAAACAATAATGTACATTATGTGGAAAATAATGTGTTTTTTGAACCTTAAACCGCATAAACCCATTGCATTACACCAAATACACCAAATAAATGTTCTTTTTAGCAACATCATATGACCACTTTAAGAAGATTTCAGACAAAGCCTTAAGGCTCTTTGGCTAGTGTCAGTTACAATCAACCAACACACCCTAGAAACGGCAGAACAATGCCCTAGTGACCCCCAAGAACACATTAGCAACACACCTAAAACACACGGTGTGCAACCGCCCAGTAGCCAATCGTGAAACACGAGCAGAACAAGTTGTCCAAATCCAAATCCTTCATAAAACCATTTGCCTTTATATATTCAGCAGATGCTTTTATCCAAAGTGACTTAAAGTGGATTAAAGAAACATTTTTTGGTAAAATCAAACTGATAATCAAACACACAGGAATAGCTGAGCTACAGGAATACAAAGCAATTGTTGCAATAAATTAAAGACGCAAAAATGTTTCCAACATATTCGTTTGTTCGGTTTGCATTTCATAAATGAAGCCCAAAGTAATGTAATTATTTACTTTTATTCTCAGTACTGCATTGAAGTAATGCATAATTCCGATCTCTTCTACTCTTTCATCCCTCAGTAATCCATACTAGCTCGGTGTTTACCGTCTGTACGCTCGCTTTAGCTAAATGCTTAAAGAGACTTTTTGCCATCCGGGTTTACACAATAGGATCATGTTCTGTCTTATGGGGTCATTAAGAGACCATCTTAGGAGCACTTTAGTGGTGTATCAAAGGTCTGGCACACCTCACCGTGAGATGACTCATGGATGCTGATGGGCAATGTTTATGTGACTAATTTGAGTAATGTTTACATGTTTATTTGAAATGCACCTCCCATCCTGGATGTTCATATGGCTTCCTTGCATTTGCGTGATTTGAACAGTGGTCCTCTTTAAACATCCAGACAGGATGTTGTCTAATTAGATGACACCTAGCTGCCGTCAGACAAGTGATGCTTTGACGGACCAAATTTAAAAAGCCATTAGAGAAATGTACAGTAGCTACCAGTGATACACATGAAAGCGTCTGAAGGTGAAGCGTGTTATTTCGAAACTACTAAAATACTTTTTAAAAGAAAGCACAATGACTATGAAATTGGTTGCCAGGGTGCCGTTATGTGGTTTCTAAGATGTGCCTTTAGCATGTAAGCATGTAAGTGGCCTTGCCATGTTTTTAAAGCATTCTGACTGGTTGCTCACTGGCCAAACAGCCCAGAAGTACTTGCCTTAGAAAGCCACACCAATGATTGTTTCCCAAACATTTATTTCAGCCGATTAGTGCCACCTTTAGTCAGCTGCTGGTCAGATAATCAGGATGTTTTGCCCAAAAATTACACCATTGGTTGAGCTCAAATATAAAGTTTAAAGTAGAGCCGACCGATATATCGTTTTGCCGATATTATCGGCCGATATGAGCCTGTCGCCGATATATCGGTATCGGCGAATAGCCGCTGATATGCCGCCGATGTCAAATTGTTTTTTTTACAGAACATATAATGCAGATAAAATGCTTGAAATGGTGTAATTACTTAGTTTGTCCAGCAGAGCGCGCGCCATTGTTTGCTACTGGTCACCTGGATGAAACGCTTTAAAGCTCAAGTCTATGGAAAACCATTGAAACTTTGAACGGCCATATCTACATAACAGCGCGGCGAATCCGCACCAAATTCGGGGGATCCCTTCAGCTCGAGGAACCCTTGCGAACGCGAATCGAGTGTACGTCTCGAGGCCCTCTTTCGAATGAGACCAGGCCTTTTTTTTTTTATTCCCTAATATCGGTATCGGCCCCAAAAAACCCATATCGGTCGGGCTCTAGTTTAAAGGGGTCCACTTACAATGTTATCAAGATTTGTACATCAAAACAAAATCATAATTTAGAAGTAATAGGCTATTTTCTGTCCTGTTTTGACCGCCTTCATTGGAACACTCGGTTTAAATAGGCGTGGCAGATTGTAATCTTGGAAGTAAATGCTCACTGCTATGATTGGCTAACAGTTGTGTATGTTTGACAGCCTACGCCCTTCATAGATGGACGCTGCTGTGATTTAGGTTAAAAAAAGGATAATTACTCAGTACACATAAAACAATCTGTAATAATAGACAAAGCAATAGTGATCACGTAATAAAACTTACTCACAGTAAGTTACTCACACTTGTGTGTTGTGACATTATTGTCAGATCCAATATAGTCGGCACAGCATCATCTTATAGTTTAACTGTTTCTGAAAATCCTGCGTCAAATCGTGCCTTGTTTGTAAACGAATCTGCGGTACAACGAAGTAAACAAAGGACTAAGTTCTTACTGATATGGTCTGGCACTTCATTAAAAATAAAGTTCATCGTTTGGTTTCTGCGTAGACCTGCGTTTGCCGCTCTTGTCATTTACCTACCATGTGCGCTAATGGGTGGGCGGGGCTAAACAGGCAGTGATGCAGAAGCAGGCATTGATCTTCTGCGGAGGTGGTGTTTATCCAAGCTATCATTTCATAAAGTGGCTCATTCCCACAACCTGTCGTTTTGTTCAATTTTAGACTAACGAGAAAGTTTTGAGTTCTGAAACTTACAGGATGTTTTTATAGCACAATGACTATCAAAAGATCAAGTAATTTTGATTTCTCAATTCATGACCCCTTTAAATAACATTCCAAAAAGCACCCGTGAAAACAAACCAGAAAAGAGACTGAACGAGGATTTGGGAAAATGACAGATTTATCACATTCCAGTGAATTATTTATGGGATGTGTTCATTAAACTGGGAGAGTTGATCACAAGAGTACAGTATTTGTGGTCTTTTCCATATTGTCACCGTGGAAAATAAAAATAAACTAATTCAAAGGAACAGAACACAGCAGACTAAAATGTTCCATTATATCCTTCTGTTCTATTGTGTTTGTGATATCAATGTCACATTAAAATTCCAAGCGTTACATTATTTTCCCTGATGGATAAAAATGCAGCATGATGGAAAATCCACGTGATATTTAGATGAGACTTATTTGAAATAATTTTTCAGTTCTTTTGAGTTGAAGTTCCACAAAGGTAATGTGCCACATAAAAGGAGGATGGTCATCACTGCAAATTAATCTGCGAGTATTTTTAATTTTTTTTTAAATAACGTAAATTAAGTATTTTTACATTTTAGCCAATAATGTAAAATTCTCTCTACAAAATCTCTCCCAGCCCATTCATCCAATAGCAATTCAAACCACAGTTTCTCTTCAGCAAATTTAGTTTATTCCCCCTCACAAAGACAGAACGTACTGAATTCACAATAGGCATGGGGGCGGAGCACATTGGTGAAAAGATCCCCACCATACACCCCACCTTGGAATTTTTTTTTCCTGGTGAAGGTCACAGTCCACTGCTCTTCATTGGCATCCCGGCCGGTTCCTCAGACTGTAATGCTTTTGTGTACAGACCCTTTTTCCCACACACCCCTTACCAAATACACCCCTTCAGCCCAGCACTGGCCCCCTCTCGCCCAAACAAGAAACAAAACTAAACAAACGCAGAGCTGGATCCATTTAAAGAAGCCTCCAATTCCAAATTTAGCCCCATCTAAAAGAAAACAGACATGAAAGACTGAGTTCTTTGGAAGCGGTTCAGAAATATGAAACCTGTTCACGCAAAAGGTCCTGCTTACAACGCAAGACCTAGTGAAAGCATAAACGTGTTTTGCAGTAAATAACCAAGTGAAACAGCCGCATTACCTCGTTTCCGTGCATGTTGCCCACGTATTTGAATTCCGGGATGCCCGTTCTGTGTTCTCTGGGATGTTGACCCAGTATTAAGACCCAGAGTTCTCTTCCTAGAAAGACAAAATGTAAATGTTAATCGACTGCAAACAAATGTTTCAATAAGCGAGTCAGTGCATTTGCAACTGAATTAAGTGCTGTGGATCTTGTGCTGGTCACATGATCAATGTCTCTGTTTTCTCAGTTAACCAGATACTCAAATAATGTTTTTGCACAGTTTGGGCAGAAACCTGGCAACCCAATCCCATGTAATCTCACGTCTAGCTTTCATTCACTCTGTCTGCTTGTCTCGGCCTCTGAGGACTACTGAATATGGAGATCTCATATTCACTGTGCAAGTTGAAGCATGCTTGCTTCAGGACAACTAAAAAAGGAGAGAAATCATCAAGATGGGCTTAAAAAGGGAAATGAAGTCTTCCAAACCATGACAGATAACCGTTTGTCTTATTTTGAATTTTTTTCCAAGGGTGAATTTGATCAAAATATTATTACGATTTAATGTAGCTTTTCAACATTAATCTTAAAATATGAATATAAAATATAAACTTAAATGGTCTGATAAGCACCCGCAATACTCTAGCACTTTTCTATGTGGAACTTGCAGTTGGTCTACCTGGGAGAATGCTTTCCATAGTGTACCTTTACAAAGATCATCGTGGGCCATCCTGAACATCAGGCGCTAAAGGTAGGGGTACTACTATTGTGCCTCCCTAGTAAGCTGTGGTGTGTGTGGTCCATGTAAAGTTCTCTAAGGTGTGGACCTGGAGATACTTGAAGCCTTTCAGTCTCACAACAGGGGCCTCTCTCCAAGTACACAATAGTTTCTTTAGTCTCGTTGACACTGACACAGACTCCTAAAGTGTCAGGTTGTCCAACAGATTAGTTACTTTTGTATACATTAAATTCCTGTTCTGTTCAAACATAGGGGAGAGTGGGGTAAGTTGACCCACCCCCTGTATCTTGGCAGCTGTACACCTTTACTGTCATGTGACCATGTATTTTGGAATCACACAATTTCTGCATCACAATTTCTGCAAGACTGTGAAAAGGAGAGACACGTGAGAGGAGTGGAAGGCACCCATTTATTTTAAAAACAGTTTTTGGCTTGTCAAAGTAACATTTTAGCATAATATGTAATGGCTGTTACATCAAAGCAAATTTATCCAGGTCTACAAATATTTATGATGCATATAGGTGATTTAGCAACATATAAAACCCAATACCGTGTTCGGAAAGAAAATGACGTGTAATACGGAACCCCAAAGGGGAATAAATACGAGATGGGAGGAACATATATTTTTCAGTATTTTATGTTTACGTGAGAGTGCGCATGCATCTTTGACCCAGCATACAGCGGTGTTGTACATTGTGACCAGTTGATGGAAAAATTATTCTTATAATGCATTCAAAATTGAATAATTTGTAATAAATATAAATATTTATGATGCATATAGGTGATTTAGCAACATATAAAACCATACAAATCATTTAGCTAAATATTAGCCTGAATCGGTAAGCTAGCTATCTTTTTCCAAAATGCCAGCTATGGGGAAAAGTGAGCCAAATGATATGGGGTAAGTTGAGCCATCACTTTAACTTACCCTACTATAAATATTGTGCATATTCATTATCGTGATATATCGCATTACCGAATACTGGCACATGTCCGAACATGAACACATTTTTCTCAATAATCCATTACACTTCGATTTATGTCACAATATGGAAGAAAAGATCTGACGCTACTTCGGTTTCATTGTGACTTTAATAGCAGCTCAAATCACAAGAACTGCTCCATTTCACTTCCTTCATTACCAAAGTTTGTTTCTGCATTTCCGTACAGATCTGAAATCCAATTACTTCTGTTTATCAAACAAGACAAAATGTGCAGAATTATGAATGATTAAAGGATTTACGCAGTGTAATCTTGATTAAGCCGACACTGTTGCCAAATGACAACTGGCATTTGTCTGGGTTGATAATCACCATACAAGAGCTTTAGTTAATTAGGCCCAACTAATCAAGCATATGAAACATAATATTACATCAGCGATAATCATAGCCCGCCCCCACCTCCCGTTCTTGCCCCAGTGGGCAATTGTAACACTGATTAGGCCGAGACGGGGTGGTCAACAAACAAGGACAAAATATAAACTTAAATGGTCTGATAAGCACCCGCAATACTCTAGCACTTTTCTATGTGGAACTTGCAGTTGGTCTACCTGGGAGAATGCTTTCCATGGTGTACCTTTAAAAAGATCATCGTGGGCACTGTCCAGGCCATCCAGGCTAAGCAGCTGGTGTCCTAGATTACCTCTAGTCAGCTCGGGTCTCTTATTTCCTGGCCTTAAATAGGCGACACAGTGGGATTAGGACAAGGGGTTAGCCTGACGGGGCAAGAGCGTACAATGGCTACACAATCTCCTTGAGGTCTGAAGTGATTGGAGAAATGGGCTTTACAATCAGCCAGTAACAAAGGCTTCCAAGAGATGAAGGAGAGGTGTACAACTTCATTAAGGGTTGCTTTCTTGAAATGCAACTCCATCAGCTAAATGAAAAGATATGGTACCACAGTGTCCTTGGATTAGCTTTGGATGCACTACTTGCATTAGTAGAATTTGATCTTTAACTGGGTAAGCAGAGGTTTACTTGAGGTTTTAATCAACTAAAGTGGTCCCAAGGGTCAGCCTTGGGGCACACCGCTTGTCTAGAGATGAAGAAAACGAGATTTGGTCTGAAGCATATGGAGGACCACCCTTATAGAAACAGAGGTTGAGAGAACACGTACAGTGTGATATTAGCATCTAAATCAGATGGTGAACAAGAGAGAGAGAGAGAAGAGACTTGGCAGCGGATGTGTTCTACTCAATGATGGTTTTGTGCTGAGCCAAAAGAGCAACCTGATCCACAGACCGAATTAAGTTAAAATGTCACGGACTAGCAGCACCTTCAAATATAAGCCAATGTCTCCATCACTCTGTAATCTTAAACACCATAGCTGTGAGCCAGGTGTCCAGAGTAACTCAACAAAATTACTTTATTAAGAGCAAAAAAAAAAACAAAAAAAACAGGATATGAACTGCAGGGTGTGGTAGATTTTCATGGAATGAAGATATGAAAGACTACCATAGATGTGTCATTTGGTTTCCATTAAACATTAAAAATATTGAACAAATTACATTTGTGTATACAAACACTACCGTTCAGTAACTAATATTTTCTTCTGCAAGCAATTAACAGTTCTATAATAAGTATTTCCTAATATTACTGTTTTTACTGTATTTTTAAGCATATAAATACAGCCTTGGTTGAACAAACTTATTTTCAAAAACTTATTGACCCCACACTTTTGAATAGTATTGTGTACTCATTCTGGCTTAAAATTTTAATTTAAAAGTGGTAAAGTTTTATGCTTCAAAAAGGCAAAATCAAACCGGATAAGGATGAGCTACATTAAATCAGAAAAAGTCTTGACCTTTAATGTCGAAAGGATGCCTGACAATCACTTTATTTCACTGTTAAAAGTACTGTCTTGTCTGTTTCCCACATGCAAATCAAAGGTCAGCTTTATTTGTTATACCAATCTCTAAACACAGGAGCTGCATTGTGCTCCTGTGCGGGCAGTATTTACTGGCTCTGTTTAACTCTGACAGATTGACTGACTGTGGAAAACAGCAAATCTTTAGCTACACTGATTTCCCTTTCAAATAACAAATGGGATGAGCAAACTATCCTTTCAAACATCCCCAGACAATACAGACTGCTTTAAAAATGCTCTTTCAATATGACTGTATAGGCATAGAGTAAGACCTTTGAAACAAAGCATTGTAGCTACCCTGGATCCTTTTGATGGGGTAACAGACTAAAACTGGCTGGTCTTTCTGAGCACCTGAGTACAACCATGGGAAACTAGTGTGAGGTCTATTCATGCGAGTTGTTTTATCTCACTGGATTTCGCCGCTGATATGAACCGCTTTGCTACACTTCAAGTGGTTTGGTATTTGGCGCTCTGAAACTACGAAACGAGAAGTTCAGTCAGAGGCCAACATCCTAATCAAATGTTGTGTCTAATTTAACTAAATCGTTAAATTAACAAAATACAACTTTCTCAAATGTGAACAGATTAAACAATTTTTAACAAGAATATCAACCTAAAACCTAAATGCACTCTTTCAAAAGTTCAAGGTTTCAATAGCATTGTGGTTTAAATATGCATAAATGCTTATGGAATTGCAACATAAAACTGGTAAGTACTTCAATCTCAGTAAGTATTTGTGTGCCAACTATGATCAACATGTAGCAGGACTGAAAGGGCTGAGGGGATTGACTTGGACACCTTTACATAGATTGCTTCAAGGGGAGCCGATATTTTTAGGTAGTCCAACACGTTTAGATCTCTCTAAACGTGTTGGACTACCTAAAAATATCGGCTACTGATATGAATTTCACAGACAGTGATAGATTCTCCATGAGATTTTCTATGGAAGTTCCCAATATTGCTTTACAAGTGGCCCTAAACAGTATTTGGACATTTAATCAACACCTTAAATTAATGAAATATATAGTGTTGTCAAAAGACCCGGTACTTTGGTACCAAGTCGGTACTAAAAAAATAAAAACGTACCAGTTTTTTTTTTTAAGTACCAGTGGTAGTCGAGTACCCAGTCAACCCGGTTCTTGATGTGCTATCCGAAAGGTGCGCAGATGCGCTTTCTTCATAAAAGCACTGAGACATGGCGACATCAAAATGAGGAAACACATCAAACTAAAAAAAACACTAGACAGACACCCAGATCAAATGAAAGAGTTCAAGTAGGTAAGTTTCATTTTAATTTTTAATGTTTAGATCTTCTCAGATACATTAATTTATTTGTGGTGGCCCGCCACAATATCAAAACTCACAGCCACAAATAGATTTTCCAAAAGGCTTTGACTTCATTGAATAAACCAGAGCACTGCAGGTGTCAAAGTCGAAACCTGGCGAGAGTGTTTTTATATCACTGTGTTTCTAAAGGAAAATCTTCAGAAAATGATGGATGTCATTTTCATTTCATCTTGCCTGTAATGCCTGAGCAGCCTTTGTGAGCAAGCAAATCTTTAGCTACACTGATTTCCCTTTCAAATAACAAATGGGATGAGCAAACTATCCTTTCAAACATCCCCAGACAATACAGACTGCTTTAAAAATGCTCTTTCAATATGACTGTATAGGCATAGAGTAAGACCTTTGAAACAAAGCATTGTAGCTACCCTGGATCCTTTTGATGGGGTAACAGACTAAAACTGGCTGGTCTTTCTGAGCACCTGAGTACAACCATGGGAAACTAGTGTGAGGTCTATTCATGCGAGTTGTTTTATCTCACTGGATTTCGCCGCTGATATGAACCGCTTTGCTACACTTCAAGTGGTTTGGTATTTGGCGCTCTGAAACTACGAAACGAGAAGTTCAGTCAGAGGCCAACATCCTAATCAAATGTTGTGTCTAATTTAACTAAATCGTTAAATTAACAAAATACAACTTTCTCAAATGTGAACAGATTAAACAATTTTTAACAAGAATATCAACCTAAAACCTAAATGCACTCTTTCAAAAGTTCAAGGTTTCAATAGCATTGTGGTTTAAATATGCATAAATGCTTATGGAATTGCAACATAAAACTGGTAAGTACTTCAATCTCAGTAAGTATTTGTGTGCCAACTATGATCAACATGTAGCAGGACTGAAAGGGCTGAGGGGATTGACTTGGACACCTTTACATAGATTGCTTCAAGGGGAGCCGATATTTTTAGGTAGTCCAACACGTTTAGAGAGATCTAAACGTGTTGGACTACCTAAAAATATCGGCTACTGATATGAATTTCACAGACAGTGATAGATTCTCCATGAGATTTTCTATGGAAGTTCTCAATATTGCTTTACAAGTGGCCCTAAACAGTATTTGGACATTTAATCAACACCTTAAATTAATGAAATATATAGTGTTGTCAAAAGACCCGGTACTTTGGTACCAAGTCGGTACTAAAAAAATAAAAACGTACCAGTTTTTTTTTTTAAGTACCAGTGGTAGTCGAGTACCCAGTCAACCCGGTTCTTGATGTGCTATCCGAAAGGTGCGCAGATGCGCTTTCTTCATAAAAGCACTGAGACATGGCGACATCAAAATGAGGAAACACATCAAACTAAAAAAAACACTAGACAGACACCCAGATCAAATGAAAGAGTTCAAGTAGGTAAGTTTCATTTTAATTTTTAATGTTTAGATCTTCTCAGATACATTAATTTATTTGTGGTGGCCCGCCACAATATCAAAACTCACAGCCACAAATAGATTTTCCAAAAGGCTTTGACTTCATTGAATAAACCAGAGCACTGCAGGTGTCAAAGTCGAAACCTGGCGAGAGTGTTTTTATATCACTGTGTTTCTAAAGGAAAATCTTCAGAAAATGATGGATGTCATTTTCATTTCATCTTGCCTGTAATGCCTGAGCAGCCTTTGTGAGCACAGCACTTATTTGATTACAGCCGTTACTGGGGAAACCTCTATCTCTCCCGCTTTACAAGCGCCTCCTGCTGGCAGAGAATGAATTTGCAAATAGAGTGCAAGTCTGTGGGAAACACCGCTTCTGTTATGAATATTATTCAATATTTTAATTTGAAAGTCGGATTGAAATGAACATCGCTGTTATTAGAGTAGTTAATCGTTAGCATAAGTGCGGCTAACGCTAATATAATGAGCATTAGAATTAAGTTTCTTTATGAACTATTTAATGCTCCTATAACTTTTATTAGGGTTAAAAAAACAGGAGGACATGACGATATTAACTATTTTTACACACCAGAGGCTTTTAAATGAATTGTGAATCTAAATTATGCATGTTAGAGAATGTACAAATGGTTAACATTGTGTCATATCAGTCAGAAAAGCAGTATTGGTACCGAATACTGAAATTTTGGTTTAAACAATTGTAATAAAAATAAATAAATAAAATTAAAAAAGCAAACCATACTTTTCGACCTAATCTTAAACAGCATATCTGTTGATTTATCATTTAAAACCTAACAAACTTATTTTTTTGTGAAATGTTATATGTGGAAGGTTCATTTACACTTAGTTTATTTAACATTTTGTTATCTAATGCAATGATGTTCAAATATCACATAAGGGACCAAATAATATTTGAGGCCAATATTCATGTAAACAACTGTCAGTTTACATCAACTCACAAAATCGAAAAGGCATCTGCTTACGAATCCATCAATACAAAATTAAAAATGAATCCAAATGTATTTAACGAAAAACACATGAGCAAGAGTGCTGTTGATTTGACTGTATACACTGATACACGGCCTTAGTCAGTGTATTTAACCATTTAACTTTGGACAGGAATGAAAACGAGGCTGTGAGGGGTAGAAGTACAGTGCGTTAAATGTATTGTAATGTTATTTAACAACATACCGATTGTTCAGCGGACAAAAAAAAAAATGTCTAAAAACAACAAAACATACTTTCAGTAGACAAAAACTCAAAAAAAGTTTTGAAATGATCTAGGACCTCACAGCCTTGCTTTCTTCAATATGGCGTCTAACCTGATTAATGTCTATTCAGACCACAATAGCAAACGATATTGCTTTTCTACAATCGTTACAAAAAAAAAAAAGGCTAAAGGGTTAGTTCAACGAAAAATGAAAATTCTGTCATTAATTACTCACCCTCATGTCGTTCCAAACCCACAAGACCTTCGTTCATCTTCGGAACACAAATGAAGATATTTTTGATGGAATCTGAGAGCATAGAGAGCAATGATATTACCGCGATCAACGCACAAAAGCGTAGCAAGGACATCGGTAAAATAGTCCATGTGACATCAAGGGTTCAACTGTAATTTTACAAAGCTACAAGCACATTTTGTTCTTGTACTTGTTTGTTTACGTTCAGCATGCACGTGCTTTTGCTGAACGTAATCAACGTTGTTTACGTTCAGTAGACAGCGCGCGCATGCTGATTACGTTCTGGGGTACTCTCCAAAATGTAACTCGGGGAGAATAATTGCTGAATAAATTATGTTATTATTGTTTTCTTTGCGCACAAAAAGTATTCTCTTAGCTTTGTAAAATTACGGTTGAACCCCTGATGTCACATGGACTATTTTACCGATGTCCTTGCTATGTTTCGGTGCATTGATCATGGTAATATCATTGCCGTCTATGGAGGATCAGAGAGCTCTCAGATTCCATCAAGAATATCTTAATTTGTGTTTCGAAGATGAACGAAGGTCTTATGGGTTTGGAACGACATGAGGGAAAGTAATTAATGACAGAATTTTAATTTTTGGGTGAACAATCCCTTTAAGATTGAGCAACATTTTTGACACACTGTTCCCAGCACATATTTGTTCTATCAACTAAAAGAGTTCCAAAAAAAGCCAGAGTGCAATGAAACGTACATCTCCAAGCAACATGCTGTAGCAGTGCTCCTGAATGAATTGGTGTGCAAACAAATAAGCTCAACGAATTCAATGATTTACCTAAAAAAAAAAAAAACTGTCACCACCTACTGCTGTGCGGGTGTACAGAAATATTAGCTGGAAATCCTACACTTTTCATTCCACTGACTTTTCATACGCAAGCAAATTCAGGAGACGAAAAAAGTTCCAAAGTTTGGTGAACTCTGACTTAGGAATTCGTAACACATTATGATCTGTAGAAGAATGATACATCACGTGACCAATAAGATGCATCAAATGAATGCAAACTTTAAAGCTGTCTATTTGTAATGTTAAATTTATGTTATATAAAAAAAAGCGACACAGAGCAGGACATAACTAATTTGTCTGTCCAAAAATGTGTAAAACGTGTTAATATCTTTTAAAATTATTATTTACTGTAAACATTTTAATGTTTTGCTTTAACTTTATTGCTACTTTTTTTTTTATCCTGATGTACCCCAGCTATCTTTGTAAACCAATAAAACCAATAAATAAAACACCAAAAAAATGTCACATGCTCACAAGTCTAGTGTGACCACATCTTTAAATACACAGATTCACATTCTCTGTCTTGAATTTGCAAACACAGACAACATAAACAGTGAGAAGTCCCATTGCTGAGGGACTGTATATCAGTCCAATCAAATTACCGTACGTAACCAGAACTGACCATTTTATGCATGTATAAATAAATATACACAAATTAACTCCCCTAGTTCAGTTTTTTTCCCCCCTACAGAAGCACTCTCTCAACTTGCTACTGTATTTGGCTCACTGTACTGCTGCTGCTGTTTGTAGACTCATAAAAATATTTGTTGCACAATAAGCTCTCTGATGGGACTGCCAGGCAATAAGTTTGAACCTGTTGCATGCATCTGCCACCATATGCCTGCCCTCAAACAGTATAACACTGTGTGCTCTTCTGCAGGAATACATACAGACAGAGAAGAGTTCAACTCATGGATGATAAATATAGGAAAATATTGTCAGGGTAATGCTGCACCACAGCTGGTTTACCTTCAACGGACTGGCCGATACTGTGTAGATGCGTGATATCAGGAAGCGTCCTGTTGATGTCTTTCAAGTACTGCTCCATTTCCATGCTGTTATGATAGTGAAACTCCAGACCGTGAATGGATGACAGCCAGGACCATAAGAACAGGCAGAGCATGAAGACGAACATCCTTTAAGCCAACACAATTGAAGAGTGTGGAAACCTTTTCCAGAAACACAAACAGAGAAGACAATGACGTGGATGTGCCCTTATCTTGATTCATTTCACTTTTATTGTCTGTCAATATGGATACGTATTTTTAAAGCCTTAAGATTTGGAAAAACATTCAATAAACATGTTTCTTTATATGACAGGTGTGTACTATGTCCAAAAATGCTATCTAGATAGGCAGCTCACTATGAAATGATTTGATATATAGTTTGGACAGGAGAGCCCAAGGCTGTCTATGTAATGTAATTAACTAATTTTCAGAATTGCCCTTTATAAAATAATTCTGAGCATCATATCGGACTAATTTGTTTTTAGTGCTTGCTTTGTATGCATCATTACTTAGCATAATTCATATTTTATCTATCCATCCTCATGCAAAGCCTCATGCACTTATGCCCTTATAAAAGGTACTGTGGTGGCACCATGGTACACGTATGGTATTAATGCAATTGTACTGACTACATTTACATGGTATTTCAAGGTACTTAAAATATGATATGTTAGTGTCCACATCCAAAACATGATCATTGTGTTGCACCTAACAGGTCAGCTATAATCTAATATGCTTTAAAACAGCAGTAATGTAATATGCTTTCAAGTCAAGGTTAATGTTTATGTTTGTTTGTTAATATTAATGTTTGCCTTTTCTAGGAGCGTGCAATATGTTTTTTGGCACCTATGATGGCCATAAATGCAAATTTATGGATAAGGTTATCAGGTCACTATTCTTTACATATTTGTGGTGGAACCGTGCTACAGTGATGGTAACAACTCTATATAATATCAATAATATCATATCATTACAACACATATGTATGGAACACAGTCATAACAGTGTGTGTATAAACAGTAAACTACAGTATCAACAAATAATTAAAACCACCATTGTGCTCATATTATAAATAAAACATGACATGATATATATATATATATATATATATATATATATATATATATATATAAAAAAACAA